TGAGTGTAACTCAACATAAATTGGCAGAATTTGAGAAAAGTCGGGGGTATGTCAGAGCTGAGTGTTTCAACAAACTACCGAGCACCATACAGAACATGAGTCTCAGAAAATACAAACAAATAATCAGGAAAATATTGCTGGAGAAAGCATATTATTCAGTAAGAGAATTCCTCGTGGACTCGTTAGAGTGAATCAGTCATAACCTGTCGTCATAACGAGAATTTTCATTCTCCATTATTGTATATTTGTATATATTTATGTATCTTTCATTCATTTTTTTATTCAACTGACAACCTACTTTTGAGTAAGTGTATTGTCTATATGTATGCATACTAAATGTAAATGCTAAACATGACGTGTATATCCATCTTACAGATGGCTGCTGTTGCAAGTACGAATGAACGAATTTGAATTTGAATTCGAATTTGGATGCACCTCAATGTAGGCATGTTCTAATTACTTCTATTAGTATAGAACGGCATTTTTCGAAAACTGCTCATCAAACAATGATGAACGAGGGTACTGCTGGCAAGGGAATTGAACGCTCCCTAGAATAATGTGCATCCCCTTTTCATTTGAGGTCATAAGGGTACCATCTACCCCTTCTAGGGAGTTGAACCAAGAGTGCGTGCTGAATATATGAATTTGAAGGGTCCCCCTTGAGGATCGAATCAATCTATATCTTTCTGATTCTTCATATGCTAATTGACACGGCATTTTTGGACACTGATCAACAAAAAATAATAAACTGGGGTACCATTGGATAGAGAATTGAGCACCCTTCGAAATGATGTGTCACTCGACCCCCTTCCCATTTGAGATTCTGAGCGTATTATCTACTCCTACGCCAAGAGTTAGAGTCACTTCCGGTTTGACCGGAAGTGACTCTAACTTTCTCATTTCAAAACGCACCCTGTGAATTTCTTGCAATTTTTGATTTCTACTCGAAATTACCGTCCCAACGATGTATCACACTTCGTATTTTGAATTTGATTTGTTGGAGAGAACGACAATTTAAATTTCAAATTGAACGAATTGCAGTAGGCTACGATATATTTGTAATCTTGATATTGACTTCAATGAAAATTTCGAATTATCAGAATTGATAGATAATCTATTGGAACAGGTATACTGGTACACCCAGTATATATCCATTTTTTTTAGTTCTCGATTATACCGATCTCACTGTGCCCAACATAAGCTCCTCAGGAGTAACCATACCCTTGAAGATATCCATTTCGATGCTTGGTATAACTATCAGCAATAACCTTTCTTGGGAAAATCACGTGAGATCAATTGGTAAAAGTGAATCCCGAATACTGGGTTTTCTGTTTTCAGGGCCAGGAGCTATTTCACTTCCAGTCAGCTGCTTATGATCTATAAGGCAAAGATCCTACCTGTCCTGGAATACTGTACCCATATTTGGAGTGCAGCACCCAAACATATCCTGAAACTGTTGGATTCTATCCAAAAAAGGGCAATTCGTCTCATGGGTGATGCATGGCTCACAATCTCGCTCACTCCTTTGGAACACCGAAGGAAAGTTAGCGATCTGGCTCTATTTTATAGATATTTACATGGACGATGCTCCTCTGAAATATCAACAATTATTCCTCACTTTGGCAGTCCCCGCGAGATTAACCCGTCGAGTTGTGGCTTCGCACCTCTTCTTGGTCACTTTGGAGACCTGCAGAACATCTCTTTCCAAAGACTCGTTCATCCAACGAACAGCGAGGCTCTGGAACACATTCTCATGTGAGGTGTTCCCCGATGCATATAACCTCCAGAAATTCAAGAACACCAATTCCTTATCCCCCTTGGTTCCCACAATGTTCTCTGAACATTACAGGATATCCGTTTTCGTGGGAACCAGAACATGAAAAAAAAAATCAACAAATAGGAAAAAATTGTTGACCACCCAATTTCACATCCCGCGAAGCTCCAGTTATAAAAGTCGGGTTTTCATCATCGTATCTTCCGATCTAGAAATCCTTTTAATATCGATGTTCTCGGTGAATTTCGACAGGATGATGAATTGCAGTCTCATCTCGAAGGAAATTAAATCCCTGGATACCCTCACCAAACCGATCACAAAATTTTTTACACAATAAATTGTACGAGTATATAAACCTCCTCTCATAACTTAGATTACGTGGGATCGATACTGCGGATGTACTTATTCGGAGACGAATAAAATTTGGAATGATCGAGAGGGGAATGAAAGCAGTGAATTTTTCATTTATATTCCATTTCTGTACGTCCTGAGTATAGTGCACCTATGACAGCCTCAGATATTTCTACCCATATCTTCCTCATATTGTAATGATGAAAAATTCACGAAAGAATGAAGCATGTGTTTAAACAATTTCAAAGCGTCGAAAAAACCTATAGATGCTGTTACTTAATCAAGGAGTTCGAACGATGGAAATTTGTTATTTCTGATTTTTTGAGATCTTTTGTCCTCGTTTCTGTGAAATAAAAATATTTATAGCATTCCAATAAACGTGTAGTGAGGATAAATCAGATGATTTGGCCCAAAATGTCACTGCTTTCACAGAATTTTCCTATGAGAGTGCCTAAAAGAAACATCCACTAACTTGTCAGTGATCATTTGTATTGAAAAAGGTTTGGAGTAGAGAAATGAAGGTATATAGAAAGAATATCAGATTATCACGTAGCTTTGAACGGTTTGGGAACGAATCTGCTCCTGTTTGCAACATAAAAAATTGGTTATTTGAATAGCAAATTCGTATTTGTCATGAAACTTTCAAGTTCTCAGTGACAATTGGTGACGTTGGCACCAAATATACCTTTATTTCTCTTCTCCAAACCTTTTTCAATACAAATGGTCACTGACAAGCTGGTGAACTTTTGTTTAAGGCTCTCTGATAGGAGAATTTTTTAAACGCAGTGACATTTTGGGCGAATCATCTGGTTTTTATAGGAACCAGGAGAGAAATCTCAAAAAATCTGGAAAATTGAATGTTCCACCTCCTCTATTAACCTTCAGACAGTATTCAACTAGGTTGTTGGTTCCCCAGGGTGTGATTTTAGCAAGATGTTCATTGACATCCTTGACCTGCCATCGACGTAAGATTTTAGTTCCCTGGAATGTAATGAGAATTCTATAAGAGAACGCAGTATGCAGAGTTTTATCATCTGCGAAGCTATGGATAGGTCAAATGGTTGCTCCCAATAGATCATTGATATGAAGTAGGAACAATGTTGGTGCCAAGATTGATACTTGTGGAACGCCGGAATTCATGGCACTGATATCAAACGATAATCCGTCCACCGCCTCATGGAGTGATCTGCCTGAAAGAAAACTCGATAAAAGGAGGGTTAGCTGACCTAAATAACCGTATGATGGCAGTTTGTGGAGGAGTCCTTGGTGCCAAACACGGTCGAATTCCTTCGATATATCCAACGCCATAGCTAGAGATTCCCTATGTTTTTCTAATAAAGATTGCCATATGGGTGACGTATGAAAGTAAATTTTCATTCAGTCGATCTTCGATTGCAAAAGCCACATTGTCTATCATTATGTGATCTGTCTAAAGCCTCCAAATCTCTAATCTGAGGAAATTGACGAGGAACTGGTTTATAGCATACAATCTCTGATTGAACAGTTACAAATAACAAAATTTGATGGTCTTCACCAGCACATTTCCACATGAGGAAAGGAATGTAAAATTTTTAGATCTACTTCGGAGGAGAAGCTGAACTGGGTAAGTCATATTAGACAACTGCACCTTGAATTATCCAGCTCAATCTTCAATATGCGACAACTGAGGCACCAATACAGATACACTCAGAACATTATTCTCTATTTCTCTATATGAAGAAAATTGGATATCATGACCCTCCCTCCACTTTATATCTGAAATATTGTGACTGATTCATAAATATGTTCCTTTCATGACTACACATCAGATATACATAATTATAACACCAGAGGATCGTTCAGTATACGTGTCCCCAGATAAAGGCTCACAAAATCCCAAAAAAACCCTTTGAATTATACTCTCTTTATCATTCTTCCTGTAGAAGTTGAGTACATTTTATTTCAAAAAACCAATGAAAGCATTACTGCTCAAAATGTCCTTATATTTCATCGAAGAATATGTGGAATGTGTGGAGTATTGATGCTTTATATACTAATTTTCATTGACCTTTTGATCACTTTATAAATGTATGATTCCATATATACACTTGAATTGATTACTGTTATTTTTCCATTTTATATATACACTTATTTGTAATTGTGACTTGTCTACAATGTATTGTATACATATCATGACCAATAAATCTATTCATCTATCTATCTGATGATTCCTGAGCTTTTCAGATATTGTTTGAGCTCACTGTTGATGCATTCTCCATCACTTCGGAGACAACTGACAACAGATCATTAAGTCTATACTTGTTAAGCAGGATTTGGTTACCTTATCTGGGGTTTCCAAGACCAAGAATAGATATTTTCAATTAATCAATTGATATCGGTGAAATTGGATCAGAGAGAACAGTGGCCCCGACATAGTCAAATATTAACGAGCTCAACTTCCAAGCACTCAAGCCAAACGAGTAAAGCTCCAATGAATCCAATCATTCCGCCGATCGAAGGAACAAAATGGAAGAAAACGGCAGTCGGATTCAATCTAGGATGAAAAACAATTTCTCAAATCAGAAATGCAAACATGCCCGTCTCGCCTGGCTATTAGAAATTCATTGTGGACTTCATGGAAGTTTCCGGGCATGCGCAGGGTTGCCACGAGGAAGAGGAAAGCTTTCTGATCAGTGGCATCGCGGCGCTCCACGACGTTCGAGCTTTGTCGACGACGATCCGAAAAGCTCGTGCAACGATTTTTCGACAAATGAAAGTTCAGTTTGATATACAGGGTATCCAAGACTTTGATTTCAAGACTCTGGTATAAAAGGAAATTCGTATTGAATAATGTAGTTTCGTTGAGAATTAGTATAACTACTTCACTTGTGCAAACATGATAGGAAAGTTATTTTGTGGGAACCACAGTCCGTTTGTGATTTTTCTCGTGATATATGGTGAGTGTTATTTTCACCTATGATACCACAAGGGCTTTAATTAGCACCGGAAATTTTTTCGTGAACATGCGGATATTTTGGAAATTTCCCCGGGAGAGAATTTTCTGAATATTCGTGTTCGAGAAAGGAATTCTGGTTTCCATTTGACGCTAGAGTGGTATTCGGTGAGAAAATTTCATACCGAATTCTGAATAAATACTAGAATGGCATTACGCTAGATAACATACAAAATATCGACTTCAGAACATGCGAATATCTTGAAAATTTTCCTGATCCGAAGACGGGGGAGAATTTTCTAAATATTCGTGTTCAAGAAAAAATTCCCGGTATCATTTGAAGCAAGTGTGGGGGGATCTCACATCGAATTCTGAAAAAATACTAGAATAGGATTACGCAAAATACAAAATAAACACAAAATATCGACTTCAGTTTCTCGAAATCTTAAGGCAGCTGGTGGTAATTCAAGCTATAATTCCTGACTCACTTCATTCCACTAATCTACCTTTGGTAATATATTTTGTGACAAGGAATTCGATAGAATATAGAATAGACCAAAATAAATCTGTACCAGCGACACAAATAACATTCTTGTATAGTACAAGTCGCACTTCCTAAAAAAATACAAAATAATTATTAGTTGAACAAAGAATATTTTGGTATTTGAATAATCTATGTTTTTTGTCTTCTCAGAATGATGCGCTTCGGGGCGGCTTACAGATTTTGAAAATGGCATATTTGCTCATATAGAAATTGCAGCAAATCTAGAAAAAGCCTACAGTGCCACTATTTCTGATAAGAAACACTAAAAATTCATTCTTTCTCGATTCAACATACACCTTTAGATGGTAAATTAAAGTGAGATATCACATAAATTATATTGTGAAATTTCATTCATTTTGTAGAGGCAACAATTTTTTTTTACGATATTTTTGAAAGCAATAAAGTTCAAGTTTTGGAAATGATCTGGCAGTAAGTTATAATATTGTGAACATTTGTAGAAGCAACCTTTTTAATATAATGTTGTTTCATGTTGGGGATAGTGAAATTCTTCTTTTCGTCGTGTGTTATGTTTATAATTTTGTAGCCATCCAGTCGAAGAGACCTACTCATTTTACTGCGATACATGAATTTCCAACCAAGGCAAGGCATTTTTCTGATATCGAATTTTCGAATCAAATATTGTAAAATTACGGATTGTCAGCTGCTCCTATGGTGGCGTACGAAGTTAGTAACATATCAACGAAATAATATCGTACTACTACTACTATTACTACTACTACTAGGCATCACTTACAACTAATCTCATGAATGAATTGTTTAGAAAGATAAACTAACTCAGCTCAAATATTTATTCTGTTGGAATGTTGGATTCAAAATGACAAGATATAATATGGCGAAGTGTCTTTATTGAGAGAGTGGAATAGGAAAGCAAATATTAGATTAAGTTTGATGGAGCAAAGCAAAGACCTATATACACACGTTCTGGAATCTAACAGGTTAGCAAGACACACGTCAATTGAGCAACAAGTTTCAATGCCAAAAAGTTTAAAACACACATCATTAAATGCTGTTACACAACTACAAGAAGCCAATGTCGAACTCATTGATATTGAACAATGTTGAAGGTATGAGACACTATGTCAAGAATGTACAACCCTTCAAGCTCAATTTTGTTCTTCTTCTAGCCTAGTAGTGAGTACATTATTTGTTGTTTGCAAATTTCATTCGCAATTCTGTATCTAATATTGTATTTTGAATAATATAGGTGATCGATATTTCGAAAGATCAGGTATGGTTGACACAAACGACCCTATTTGAAATATACCCTGTACTTCTCAAAATCTACATATGATATTTCGGAAAGTCATTCAATATATCAATGAAAAAAATGGAACGCTCAAAGTCATCTTCACAACTTTTCTTATTGATGTGAGTGATTCTGAAAGACATGTTTCGGCTTTATGAAAATCCATCTTCAGCCCAAACAAGACAGTGATAGAGTGAACTCGGAATTCAATCATCTTCATTAACCATCTTGTTTGGGCTGGAGATAAACGATAAATTTCCCTAAATAACTATATACTATCATCAAAAACGTTGTGGAGATGTCTTTCAGCGTTCCTTCTTTCCTTTAGAAAATTCCAATCCACTTTACACCAGTGGTGGTGGGGTGAGATCTAGAATAACACCAAAACTTACATAGTATTTTCGAAAATATCTCGTCATTTGGAGGTTGTTGATTCTTGAAAATTTTCGAATCAAACGCCCACGATTCAATTCTGCATCAACTGTTATGAATCTCTTATATCTAACTACGAATCATAAAGGTTCTCTTATAAAAACGATCAGAATTTTTTTTGTGACGGGCATGAAGTTTGAAATATCATCACTTTTCAAGAATTACTGTTTTTTTCCTGGGAAAAAAGAGAGTTCTTTTTTCCTGGATATATATCATATCTACACTGTTGATTGTTGATGGCTTTTGTTGTGCTATAGTTCCGAAAAATGAGGCAATAATACCGTCTCCGAGAAAAAACTGCAATGGGAGACTTGCGACACTAAATTCGCAATTTTCCAAAATCAAATCACTGAATTAGACTGAGAGATATCCGTTTTTTTCAAGAGGATGATAAAGATTCTTGCAACGCAGGTGTGATACCTGTTGAAAACTTCAAATTTTACGTCAATAATTTTGTGATTCCAATATAATGTAATATCTTCTCAATATTGATTCGTCCAGAACAAAATTGTGTATTATACACGGAAAAAATGTCACATTTCAGCTCACGCTTTAGCTCCCTCGAGCTGAATCGACTCCTTTTTTACCTTGCATAATAAATAACTATTTTTGTTCTTCATAGATTTTCATATTTCCTGAATTTTTTGTCTACATCGCTGGCAAAAGTTTGTCCATGCCTACTCTGTTGATACATTGCTATCGATCATGGAGAAATTCTTATCCTAATAATGTTTTTGACAAGAAACCGTTTCAATTCGAAACCTTTCAGAGATACTATGGTGCAAACTCATAGTGATCCACAATAACCGTAATTATTCGGAAACGGCTAAACATCTCTATATGAATGAACTATGCGATTTCAATATATTGGAATACGGGATGTTTCATTCATAACAAGAAGTGTTGAGTCCCTGGCAATATTGCACATTTGTATATTGACTCACACGATGTTCAAAATCTTCTAATTTTTTTATATATCGAGAACGTCTAATCAACAAGTTACGTTATGAACCCTCTATATGACGATGATAATCAGTCTGTAATCATCAGCATCAGCATTGCACAATCAATTAATTGGGGAATATGATATTCAAAAATTTTTCATTTTTCTCGATTCCTGTTGATGAAAATGTATGCAATATAATAGGATCACAACCAATTTGATGCCAAGTGCAGAAAGGCCTTGAAAAACCTGTTAAAATCAAGAAAAGTCAGCCTCATGTAGGTCCCGGGATACTCGGGGATACCCGAAAATGACGAGGCAGACAGACTGGCCAAGATCGGTTTCGGACCGGAACCAATCTTGGGAATACCAATCAGTCTGGCAATGTCCTGCATAGAGGAACAGCTGCGAAAGCAATTTCTTAAAATATGGCAGGACACACCAACAATGAGCCAATCGAAACTCTACATGAAGGAACTTTCGAAGAGGCTCACAAAAGAGGTTGTATCCCTCAACAGGCGAGACCTCAAAAAGCTTTTGATGCGCCTAATGGGACACAACCACCTCAATAGGAACCTGAAGCTAATTGGGATCAAAGATGATCCCCTTTGCAGATGGTGACTGGAAGATGACGAAACGAAACCTTTGATAGCAGTTATTGACATTAGTCTTTTCCACCAGCTCGATTTGCAGACAAGGTGAAATTTGGTCAGACAAAGTATTTTCCGATTACTCCTGCTTCCAGGCCGTGTGATCAGAAAGAATAAAGGACAATTTCGTGTCAGTTCAACAAAATAATCCTCCCGTTTTCTCGGTCGGATTATTTCAACTGTTAAACTGACGCACTCTTTGTAATTGTGCAGCAAGTTATCGATGTAGGTTAAACCCGTTTATTTTGAAAAACTTATTGTATTACTACTGCTGATACTTGCACTTGAAATACTTGCAAGAGTCAACAATAGTATATTACACACCGAGGTAGGAAGTGATTCATTCCTGTCGTTAGATTAGTTAGTTTTAATTTCTAGACAGGAATGAAACTTCCTACCGAGGTTTGTATACTGTAACCCCCTTTTTACAAAATTCATAAATGATGAAGAAATAGTGTGAATCAAGTGGTTACAGGCACGGTAGCTCTTGTGTCTGGTGGCAAAAAGGGTGGGTTGACTTCACTAGTTTACTGGACTCTTAAATATTTTCCGGTAGGCGCCACCCAGTTTGTTCTACTTGAACTGGGAAATTGTAGTTATGACAAAATTTATAGATATTCAAAAGTATAAGGAGGTATTTACTATGCTGGAAAAGGAATATATAAATGAGGACACAATAGGTGAACTTTGAGGCCAAGTTTAATTCCCAAAAAGATTCCTTCAGAATTGGAAGGGTTTTCCAGATAGTTCAACAACATACATAAAGCACAAACTATGCGCTATTTCTATAAAATGCTAGTAAATAATTCTAGATACCAAATAATTTCATGGACATCTTTATACTTATTCAAATGGGTACCCCTTCATATATTGGCCAATATAGTCTGAGTTCACACTGTGTCTGGAGACTAATATTACCTCCTTAATTGCAAATATCTACCTGATATTAACACACTACATGTACTAAGAATTCTGAAGGATATTTTATACTGTAGAAAAATGAAATGAGTGAAAAATATGCAAACAACTTAATGGGTGGATCTGAACTTAGCTTGGAACATCCTGGAATCGTCAGGCAGGATTCTACCGGAATCTTCTATGAAACTTCTGGCCGCAGAAGTTATTCATTATCTAACTGTGGGATTACATGGGACTTCCGATCACTGTC